GACTGGTTTGCCGTTTCTTTCTCCAGCTCATTTTACACTTACAGTCCTGAGGCAAACAGGGCTAAGTGACTTACCCAGGGTCACACAGCTAGTAAATGTCTGAGGCCAGATTTGAACTTAGGTCATCCTGGCTCCAGGCCCGGCACTCTATCCACTGTGCCACCTAGCTGCCTTCTACATCCTGTGAATTTGGACAATCATTCCCAGGAAAAACCCCACTTGGGGAGAAATGTGAGAAAGAGAAAAGGCTGGGCACATTCTATTGGAGCCCAGTTAGACTTCCTCTTCCTCTGCCTCCTTCTAAGGCCAGTCATTTGATCCAGGTAGAGCAATGGGGATATTCTAAGCTAAATCAAGGAACCAGAAATAGAAATGAGAGCCTGAGATCTCATGCAATCATAGCTTCCAATATAAACTGAGTGGTAGTATCTGGTAAATAACCAGATGAGCTACAGGGAAACAGAGATAACCAAGGCATGGAAATCCATACCTACTGGAGATGATGTGAAGGACCAAGGTGCGAGTGATTGCTTCTGTCCACAGCTTTGAGACAAACTTAGCTCAGAGATGTTGGCATTTAATTAGAGTATCCAAACCAAATGTGGATCAGCCAGAAGGTCTGCAATGTCTCCTCCCTCACTCTTACTTGGCCTGAGGATGTGGTCTCCCAGGGTCCTATGGCTATCACTCCACTCTCCTGGGGAAGTGTGCCTTCTTGCTTAGTTGGACTGCTCCTCTCTTTGGATACTCATTCGCTAGAAGAATGAGGGATCACTAGTAGACTGCCCATGGTCAGGGTGATTAGAGAAAAGGGAGGGTGAACAGCTGCCAAAATGGCAAGGGTTGGCCCCTTCTCTCTACATCCATGAAAAACTCTCTAAAGCCAGGGATTGGCCCTTGCCCCTCTCTTGATCTCACTAGCCTGGGAAGTTGTGGCCTGCACAACTGAATGATTCAGGTAACATATGTTGATAATTTTTGCAATTCGCAGGTTTCCTATCAAGCAGATCATCCACTCCCTTGCTCTGCCAATATAAACAGGCGTTGGGGGAGAACGTAAACTTCTCCTAGAGATAGACTCTTCAGAGTCACTTATTTCCCACCCTTTTGATCTGACCTTGGAGTTTTAATGCCTTTATCATCTCTAAACTTGGAGGTCCCCATGAACTATTCCTTACACGTTCCTATTCCCTTCCTCTCTAATCCCTGTGGCTCAAAGCTTCCTTCTTCTAGGCAAAACAAAACCAAAGCCAAAAAAGCTCTTCCCCTTATAAGTCCCCCTTACATATAAGTCCCCCCACCTTGTCCTTACTCAGCTCAGTCCTCTCCATCCATAGTTCTAATTCTTTTCTACCCTTCCTTCCCACTGTGAGCTCTAGAATCCCTGTTCATCAAATCCCCTCATTCTAGAGCTCTTCTCACACTGCTTTCATCTTCTAATGTTCCCTGAATCCTGGTTTTCTCTTAAAGATGACCTCTCTTGGCCCCTTCTCCAAGGCTGGATGCTCTGCTCACTGCCACTTCCTTGCCTACACAGTGCCAGGAGGAGGAGTTAACATGCTCTGTGTTCCCCACTGTCTTTGTCACACTTCCCTGCGCTCCCATCAATTAGCATCTATTTCTCCTCCTTGTAACTGCTTACCACTAGAGGGAAAGGAGTTTTTTTCTGTTTACCCAGTAAATAACATTGAATGGAATAGGATGAGGGTTTGAAAGAGCTGATTGATGAAAAAAAGTTGCCATTTCATTAACTAATGAGAGAATATTCCAATAAGTCTCTGAGTTATGTGAGGGCTTGACATAATGATATAAAATATGAATAAACATGTCAAAGGGCAGATTGAGAGGTGATCCACAAGAGAGTGCTGGTCAACTCTCTAATTCTTGCCATGTACATATTTGCACTGATCTGTGATTTCAGCAGTACATGGAGCTAGAGGGATTCATTTCAAGGGTCAGGGTGCCAGAGGAGCAGCAACCACAGAAGTTGAAGAACAAAGATGATGGAGCCCAGATCACTGGGGGTGGAATCACAGTATACCCTCAGGTAAAAGAAACAGAAGATTCCAAAGGTTGAGAATCCTCATTCAAGGGGGAGCAGGAAATCTCATTTTGTGCTACTATCCCCATCCCTTCCTGCTCCCTTGGGTTGTCTTCTAGGGACTCTGTCTCCCAGCATCCATAGGCTGACTGAGGCAGGCTCCACTTATTGGCTAGCCAATGAAAAATCTGATTCACTGATGTTTTTGCTGATACTGTTGTAAGCAAACACTGAGATTATTAGAGGACTATTGGGGGGGGTTGGAAAACAGGAAAGTAGAAGTCTGTGACCTGTGTTGAAAGTGACCATTAACAAGGAATTCCAGGAAAATATAATTGATTTGTTCTCTATTTCCTTAAGAAACAGTCAGGAGGGAAAAGGGAAGCATGTGTTCTATATGAAACTGTCAGGATGGCTTCCTGGCAAGGCAGTTGTGTCAGCAACTGGGCTCTGAAGTGTGGTCCCTTCTTTGCACGCTTCAGCAGCAGAGTTCTCTGGCACACGGGTAGGGGGAGGCATGAAGATGGCAACCTATAGAGGCAAGAAAAATCCCAGAGATGAGTCACCTTAAGGGTGCAGAAAGAGAGCTGCAGAGAGTATTAGGGCAGAAAAACTCTAGTGACATCGCCCTTCTGTGGAAGGCTGGCCCTGGTTAGACAGGACAAGAAGGATGGCCCTGTGAGGAGCTGGCTGGCCAGCTTGTCATATCCACTTGTCCTCCCTATCCACTCTCAACTCCTCCTCCCCATCACCCTCTTTTCTTCTCATCTTTCTATTTTCTGGCTTCCTTGCCCTCACGCCATCTCAATCTTTCTCTAGGTTCATTCTTAACTATACTACTCTCTGGAACTTGTTCAAAAAGGTTTAAAAAAATGTTTAAAGATTAACCCTGTAACTACCTCCTTCATTTAGGCTAAACCTAAAGGCTTCCCATAACCCAGGGAAGCCCAAGTCAAGCCGTCCCCAATTAATGAGACTTAAGGAGATACTGTCAGCCCAAATGAAGCATAGTTTGCCATACCCCAGTAGGTACCCTCTCCCTAGCCAGTCCTCCTAAGTGATTTGTCAATGGGTGTACCCCACACGCTTTCTAGCAAGACGCAGTGTCACAGAGAGAGACTCACTATCCCACGAAGTTATCAAATTCACCACAGCAGCACTCCCTTGTCTTACAGAGCCAAAGTGGGACATACAAGATACTCCTCTTACTCTTCTATTTTTAATAGGAATATAGAGCCTCACCTTGTGAGGTGAATGGTAGAGTCTTGGGGGAGTGGTGATGGTTTGGGAGGAAGATTAGAAGGATGAAGCAAAGACTTGCACTTCTTTGTGCCTGGGACTTCCTGACATGTCCTCACTGGTCACCTCAGGGCTTGGTTTGACTCTGACATTGGATATAATACTTAAGAGCAAGGGTGGGGAAACTGTGGTGTGGAGCCCACATGTGGCCCTTTAGGTTCTCAAGTGTGGCCTTTTGAATCCAAACTTCACAGTATAAATCCCCTTAATAGAAGCATTTGTTCTGTAGAACTTGGACTCAGTAAAAAGACCATACTCAAGGACCTAGAAGGCCACATGTGGCCCTGAGACCACAGGCTCCCCACCCCTGCTTAAGAGCATGAAGGCAGAGACATACAAATCCCTAGTTATCCTCTCTAAAGATAGCTTGTCCTCTCACTAGTCTCTGATTTGACCTGCTGACTGATCCTCCCAGGAGAATCAGAGTTACCACATAGCATCAGCTACTCACCCCACTATACACACAGCAGAAAGCGTTGCAGCCAAAGGCTGAGACCGCAAGCGAGATGGCAAACTCTAAAATATTTAAGATCAGCAGGAACACATTGCCTCCCTGGAAAGAGAGACCGAGCAGAGACAGTTGAAGGGTAAACAAGGCCCACCTCTAACAATTCAGGAAGAAATGAGGTGAAGGAGAGTACTAAGTGGGGCAAGATGGGAGGTGAAGGACTGTCCTGAGACAAAGCTTGAAACACATTAAAGCAAACATTAAAGTGACATATGAACGTTAACTCTTATTATTATTACTACCACAATGATTATTGTTAATAACCATAAGGCACATTCCAACGGCACTTTCAGATGCACAAAGCACTTTCATCACAATAATCCTGTGAGGTATGTTGTGCAAAGATGATCCCCACTTTGTACACTGGGAAGTGAAGGTGAAGAAATACCTGTCTATGGTCGCTCAGATCTACAGCCTTTGTGCTCCACCCCACATGCAATCCACCCTGGCATCCATCTGGCCCTATCATAGGTATTCAGTACAGATTTTTTTCATTAAAAAGACCCTAAATTCTCTAGAAGACAGAATTGTGCATCCTTTTCAAGACAATAAATGTTAATCGATCGATTGATTGTCCAAGGTTTGATTTCTATTGGTGTTTTCCTCGCAGTTTGGGGGGCTTCTGGACTGTTCGGGTAATCATCGGCTACTCCTTGAGGTCCCACAGCCACCTGAGGTGCCTGCAACCACCAATCAAAGGTCCAGTCCTAGGCATGCACTTCAAAGTTAATAATCCGCCAAGGGAGAGGTGAACAAAGACATTTGTTGGAGGAACTCCGACATGCTGAGCCTGCTCCTAATCTCTAGGTCCAGTTTTAGTCATCCCTCTGTTCTACTTCCCAACCAAATGAGGCTTGGATCCCCTATACCCCAACGTTGCCCTGCTCTCTCCCCTTTCAATGGCATTGCTCACACCAACCACAGGCCAGGGACAGGCTGTGGCACACCCTCACCCTTACTTTTGAAGTTCATCTCTTCCTTGAAGGACCATCTCAGTTGACATCTGAAACATATTCTTGACTCAGCACTCCCTCCACCAAGGAAACCACCTTCCTTGAAGGTTCAGACCTCTACAAAACCCTTCATGTCTCTGCCCTGGCCTATAAAGATTGTCAGTTCCAAAGATATTGGCCCCAGTTTGGAAGTACTTACCAGTAATAGAAGGTGACTAAAAGCACAGACAACATAGTAACCTTCTTGGTGACAGTAATAGTAGTGGGCATGTTCAAACATTACCAAGTTGAGTGAGAAAAAGATGATTCCCAGCCCAGCCACCACGGAGCTAACAATGTTCATTGCAAGGCTGCTTTGGACCTGAAAGCATAGAAGAACAATCAACCCATTAACACATAGTTATGGAGTTGTTACCATGTATTCAGTCTTGTTCAAGACACACATGTGCATCCAAAAGCAACAAGAGAAAGATGTATCTATTGAGTGCCTACTGTGTATGCAAGACAGTATATCCGGCACTGGGGATGCAGGGACTGAGGGGAAAAAGTGCTCAAGTCTCAAAAGCCTTCCATTTTACTCAGCAATGCAACATGTGCATGGGAATCCTTTCTTTACATAAAGATAATTGAGGAGGTCAAGGGAACCGAAAAGTCAAGAGAATGATTTTTATTTTTGCCAGTATGACTGTAGGCTCTACCAGGTAGTAATCTGAGTAATGGGAGAGCAGTCAATAGTGATTCATCCCCTCTGTGACCCTAGTTACAAGCTCTGCCATGTGGCATTGACCAAGCAAGCCTACCATAGCCCAGCCAAGAGTTGCTGAAGTTGTCTCTCAATAATCCTTCTATTTTCCCCTCTCCTTTCAGAAGGCACAAAAAAAGATCAGAAGTTTCTTCCTCTTGAGCTTCAGAGAAAGAGTGAATGCCACTCACCAGAGTATTTGTCATTCTGTTCTCTGCAGCAATGGAGAGGGTGCCGGAGATGATGAACTGTGGACAAACATCAATACCTTAAAACCTTCATTTCTTTCCATAATGGGCTCACTCTTCCCTACCAGTCACTGAAACCTGACTCCCCCATCCACGAGAACTGTATATTTCTGATGGATCCAACATATGCTCTGAGAGCCTTTCAGACATATGGACAAAGGACGAGTAGACAAGCCTTCCTTCTTTCACAGTGAGAATTAGTACAAACCATTCTGAGGTTAAGTAACCCTGCTCAAAAAGAAAACAAGGCTAGTCTCCCATGGCTTGAACCTAATGAAGCCCTACTGCACCATTGTAGTGACTACTGGCCTTTCTAGATATAAAGTGCCCTATCGTGGATGATACATCCTAGAATTTTGCCAGGATTGAAGTAAAACTCACCGATTTATAATTCAAAGACCACACTGTCTTCCTTTTCTCGATGATCAAGACAAATGCCATCCTTCAGCGCTAAAGTGCTTCTATTCTCCATCATCCTCTCAAAATCAGTGACATGGGCCTACAACCAGTTCTGCGTATTCTTTCATGTGTTTGCAGATGGGGCTTGATCTGTACCTAACAATGTGAAGTGATCGAGGGCAGACGATTGCAATCTTGTTGTCTAATTATTGCCCAGGATCTCTCTCATAGCATTTACCCACTGCAATCCGAAGATTATTCTCTGGGGGAAAAAAATTGAACAGTCTTCTCCACACCATCCAGTAAAATGTTCATACCTCCACCTTGAGATGAGGCATTTCACCTCTTTTGGTCTTTCTCTTCACAAATATAGTTTGCTCTTTATATGTACCACCCACCTCAGCTCATTCTGAGCTTCGGTGTTCTTGACACTATTCGTATTGTACCCTTCTGGTAGTTTCGTTTGTTTTCTTTACCCTCAACCTGCATAACCTAGTCATGTATTTGCTTGCATGTTTATATTAAAAAATCAAAATTCCCAGACACTGAATTCTTTATACAACTCTTAACTTTTTCTCTTACTTAGAATTCTTTCTCTTTATTTCATAATTTCATTCTTTAATGTTTCTCATTCCTCCTAGTCTAGCTATATAATATTAGGTCATGAGATATTGCATAATCCTAGATTCCCTAATTTCCTTCAGGATTTACCCCAAGAGCTAGTGTGAATATGCCACCCAGCTATTATTGCCCCCTGAAATCCCAGTGCCTTTACTGTGTGTCTATTCTGTATTTACTTTTATGTGTGAAAGGGATGGAGACTGGTTTGTTCTTCTCTCTTCATTGCCTCAATCAAGGTGCATGGACCAAAGGAAGCATTTAAGATTACTTGTTAATCGGATGATTGATTGATTGCACTCCTCCAAATCTGGGTACCATGACAAACTGTAGTAGGCTTTCATTTGGATGTGGATATGGATATATATGTATGTGTGTATGTGTATGTATACATATATATATATATGTACACACATATTTTTATGTTATACAAGTTTCTTTTCTACCTTTTCTGGCAATTGAAAGAACTATATGATAAAGGGATAATATCTCAGATATTCATTAAAGCAGGACCCTTAAGGGATTTTTCTGGGCCCTTCCAGTTTTTCACTTTATACTATTGAAAGTAATATACACACTTTACTAAAAAGATACTATAACAACATCTACAGCTTCTGGGTGCTCATGGGGGGGGGGGAAAGCATTGTTTTGCTGAGATATGATCAGATTCTCTGAACCCTCAAGAACTTTCTGTGTTTATTGGCATCTTCCTCCTAAGAGAGAGGAAATCGTTTAGAGTTACCTGTGTTTCTCTATACTGTTCTCTGTAGCTTGAGAAGAAGAAAAAGAAGAGGAGAGATGAGATTTAAATCTGCTTTGCTATTTGCTATATTGATGTATTTTGCTTAAAAAAAAAAAGATAAAACTGCATCTCAGCACCCTACTAAGGATGGTTGTATCACATCTGTGACCCAAGATTAGTAAAAAAGGCAGATTTGCATAGCAGAAGAGCTATGGGAATGAGAAAGGAAACAAATAGCAGAATTCTTTATCTAGCAGGTACAAAATATACTTTTCCTCATATGCATATGTACACACACACACACAGATGTGTGTATACATATATGTGTATATATACATATATACACACAGTTAATTCTCAACTTTTTCAGAGGTAATATTCCTAGAAAACAATGTGAAAGGCAAAAATGTGAATGTTGATACATTGAACCCATGAGAAATAATAGGTTAGGTTCCTGTGACCCCAAAATAAACTGTAACCTTTCATTACATATTTCTGAAAATACAATTTTCTGCATATACTTCTTTGCAACAAAACATTCATTCTGATAATATGCTATTTTCCTAGCACGTACATGTGTATGTAATGTGTGTGTATATAATACATATGTATGTGTGTATATACGTGTGTGTGTGCATGTGTCAACCTCTTCATATGCATGTATATATACATTTTATATATATACATATATATATAATACATTTTATATATATGTGTATGTATGTATGTATGTATGTGTATATATATATGTGTATGTGTGTATGTATGTGTATATATATGTGTATGTGTGTATGTATATATGTATATATATATATATATATATATATATATATATATATATATATATATATATATATATATATATCTCAACCCTTCCTCATATGTGTGTGTCTGAGTGCATATCAAGCCTTCTCTATATCCCCACTGGAAGTAGAGGAAGGAAAACCATGGGCAGAAGGCACATGTTGTTGGGACCAGGTTCCCTCCAGTGTCCAGGTGACAAAGAGGAAAAATACATTTCAGAAACAGTTTTCAATAACCCTACTCACAAATGCTGATCCCCAAAATATGTAGCCACTTGGCCATAGAAAATAGTTCACTCCATAAAAGTTCCAAGGAAGGAAAGTGATGAGCATTCCTAAGCCAAGGTTCATCAGGGCAATCAGGATCTGGACAGTCTAGAAGAGAAAGAGATTCTCATAAGAAGACATAGAAAAGACTGATTCACTTCTCTCCAGACATGGAGCCAAGGGTCCATGGAGCCCTCCACAAATGCCTAACTTTCCAGAACCTCCCTGGGCTCTGGAAAGAGCCCATAATACCTGGAATGTAGTAGGGATTTAATAAAAACTTTGTAAATTGGCTAATTGAATGATTGCTTGGTATTTTAAGACAGAGAAATTAGGATTGACTTCTGGCTCTACTGCTTCTAACCTCTAAAACTCTGGGCAAGTCCCTTTGTCACTAGAGATTCTCAGTTTATTCATGAGTCAAATGAAGGGACTGGACTGAAAGATCTCTAAGATTTCTTACAGCTCTAAAATCTTATAATCACATGAGCACCTGAGAGGCAGGGGCAGTGGGATAAGGTGGCTAGAGAGCTTGATAAAGGCTCCAGAAGAGCTGGTTTCATGGCCTATGTCTTACATATACTGACTGGCTGACGCCAGACATATGATTTTACTTCTTAACGTCCCTGGTAACTTTCTAAAATTATAAGTGATAGATACGTTGACTTGTATTTATAATGGTAAGGGAAATTTCCTCATCAAAAGTTCCCTACTACAATGAACTTATAGGTCCAGGTTAGAAAAACTAAACAGTTAAATAATTGAAATTTTACAAACCTAATTATATTTCCCAAAATAATGCACAAAGCGTGTTTAGTAAATTTTGAAGCTTTTACAAAATTGATTACTTTTAATAAGGATAAGATCAAGGGCAATTTTGTATAGTAGAAAAATAGCTGGTCCAGGAGTCATAGTTACCTGGATTAAAGATCTGCCTCTGACACAGACAGGCTGTGACATCCTTAATAAATCACTTAAGCTCTCTGGGCTACAGTTTCCACATCTATAAAAGGAGGGCATTGGACTCCATTATCCCAAAGTCCCTTCCACTTCTAAATCAATCATCTAATAATCCTATGATTCTGCCCCTTCCATATGCTGGTAGTATGGCCCTAAGCAAGTCACTTTGCCTCTTAGTACCCCCCCTCCCAACCTCCTAAATCCCTCTGGAAGAATATGCTGCAGAGCACATCCTAATTTTACTTGATAAAGCAAATTTCCTCTTTGAAAGCACCTTATACCAATTAAAACACTGGTTTGGTCCAAAACCAAGGGAAAGACAGCCCCCTTGGTCAACCCTGGGGTTATTCTTAGTGAGTTTAGGAAAACTGGTATGACTGCATATGCCTGGAATGGCCATTCTCTGTAGTCCATGGGCTATTGACTCATCCTTGCAATCCAGTTTGCTCTTTCTCCATCTCTCCATGTAGACGATAACCAGAAACTATACTTACTGAAATAGCTTTGAAAGGTTAGTGCAGGGGTGGAGAACCTGTGGCCTCAAGGGCACATGTGGCCCTGTAGGTCCTCAAGCGCAGCCCTTTCATTGAATCCAAACTTCACAGAACAACTCCCCATAGAAAAAAGGATTTGTTTTGTAAAACCTGAACTCAGTCAAAAAGTCTACGGCAGGTTTGTTGCATCCTTGGACAAGCCACTAAACCCAGCAGGGCCTCAGTTTCCTCAATTATGTAACGAGGGAGGGTGGACCAGATGACCTTTGAGGTCCCTTCAAGTTCTCACAGCATCCTAATATAGTGATGATTTTGAAGGTCAGGCAATCATTCAACAAGCATTCATTATACATGCTCTGTGAGCCAGCTGCCATACCAAGCTCTGCCCATCCAAAAAACAAAGCAGCACCAGTTTCTTCTGGCTCTCAAAGCTACAATCCTATAAGTCTCTCCAACTTAGAAACTACAAATCTGCTCTCCCAAGGATTTAGGACCCTAACGCACCCCCAATGCCTTGGGCTCCGCTCTCAGGAATTTCTGCAGAGATGCCTTCAATTGGTAAGATTGTACCGTTGACCCCTGTGGGATGACAATGGGGCTTGTCTGAGGAAAGGATGGAAATATTCCCTTTGCAGCAGCCTGGGACTCCATGAGGTCACTTGTGATGCTGTAAGAAGAAAAGAGAAGTCATATGAAACAGGGGCTCAGGGATTCCCCTCCTTCATCACTTCCCCCTGAAAAAAAAAGGTGGATGACATTGTATCCAAAAGAAGATAATGCAATCTTAGGCCACAGTAAGAGAGATATGGTGTCTGGAGTAGAGGGTGATATCGTCTTCTTCCCTGATCAGACCACAACTGGATATTGCATTCATAAGAATAGGAAAGCACTGATAAGATAGAGAGCATGAAGAGAAGGGTATCTACAATGGTAAAGGGGCAAGAGACCATGCATTATGAGAGTTTATGAAAGGAACTGGGAGTGGTTGTCCTGGAGCAAGTTTAGGTTGTTCAAAGGATAAAATGAAAAGCCTTGAAAGATAGTGAAATCCAAAGGCAAAGTGTCATGTCCCTTCCCAGGGAAAGAGAACAATCCTGAACATTTATTTTATTTTTTTTTTGGGGGGGGGGCCAGGCAATGGGGTTAAGTGACTTGCCCAAGGTCACACAGCTAGTAAGTGTTATGTGTCTGAGGCTGGATTTGAACTCAGGTACTCCTGAATTCAGGGCCAGTGCTCTATCCACTGCGCCATCTAGCTGCCCCTCTGAACATTTATTTTTTTTTAATTGTGAGTATAGGTTTGTGGGCATGGATCCAAATATACACTCTCTATCCCAGTCCCAGATGTGACCAAAGACACGTGTGCAAGAAAGCTGGGTTGTGATCATAGATCAAACCTCATGACTGATTGGTGTCATGTCAATATCTGTCCCAAATAAGAAAGGCTGAGTCAGGCCTGGGGTCCTCCAGAGACTTTGAACTCCAACCACAAGGTCAAGTAAAATGTGGCTAAAAAGTTCATCTATTCAACTTTGGGAACCCCCTCCCTTTGACTGAAGATGCCTGAACTGGAAGGTGAGTGACTCCCCATGTCCTCCTACTGTTTCTAGCTGATCCAAATGTCTAAACTGTGCTACATCTTGTCCAGACATCTACCAGGATGCTAGGGCCTGGGCAGCAAGGACACCTTGCCATATACATCTCATGCATGCCCTCCCCATTCTTTGTCTTTCCTTATCCTCAGGGAACGAGGATCAGATTGGTTCTGGAAAGGACTTAGCAACTTAGAGCCTACATCTACACTCAATAGCCCCTGTGACTAGTAGACCAAAGCACTCTTCCCTTACACCACTTGATTATACTTTTTGGACCCTATAGTAAAGTTGAGACTGTCTCACTTTTGGATTTGTTTCCTCACTTAGGGTATCTAGAAAGGGGCCAAGCATCTACTAGGTACTTCATGAATTCTTATTAGTTGGCAGTTTGATTGAGGGGAAACTGATTGGATGAGCCAGACAATTGGGATTATTGATCTGAATTAAAGGTGATGGTAAGAAACAAGCTTTTCCAAATATGGCTATGAAAAGGATCCATTTTATCATTATAAACCCTCCTTATGCCAGAGGCAAAGACACCACACAGCCTAGACCTGTCTCCGGAAGAGAGAAAAGATAGACTTCTCCCAGCAACCCCTTCAGTCACTCAATTCACCATGGGGAAAGAATGGGTCTGTAATGAGGGAAATAAATATGGGAAACTAGGTTTGGCCAGCTTCCAGGAGCTCATTCTGCTTGATAACTCTACTCCCCAAATCCCTTACTGAGAATCTAGTATGGGCCCAGGCTTGGTATCAGTTATGCCAATGGGGAAAGGGGCAAAAGAGTAGCTGGTTGCCTGAAATCTCATCATCATGGAGTTTGATCTCGTTTTGATACTCAACACCTTTTCAGTGCTCTCAGCTGCCTCTCTCCTCTGATTGGAGAAATGGCGAGCAGAGCAATAAACTCCTCACACAGCCTTCCTTCCAGATAAACTCTCCATTTCCCATCAGTTGATGTGTTAGGTTTTGACTGCATGATCATCATGCCCCTTTACCAGGTACCTTCTGACAGCCTCCCCCTCCCCCTTTTCAGCTTCCTTTTGCATATTGTCTCCTCCCAATAGATTGCAAGCTCCTTGTGGGCAGGAACCATTTTTCTTTTTATTTTTTGTATCCCCAGACTTGGCACACAGTAGGTACTCAATAAATGTTTGCCTCTGACTGTAACTTTCTCCCACATCTCACTCTGGCCTGGGAGAATGGATGGACTAATAAAGAGAACCTTAAAAGGAAGCAGTCTAAGGTACCTCTGGAGAGGTAGATATGCTAGGAGAAGAGACTGCTCTAAGAGGTCAGAAAAGAGATTACTGTGAGCTATCCCAGTGACCACAAGACCAGGAATCTACCAGGTAGTAGAAGAACTTGAGATGCTCTTGAAAGGGCAGTAAAATCATAAAAATGGAGAGGTGAAAAGTGAGTTTCTGTAGGCTGTAACTACCAATGTCCCCTCCCCCTCTCTCTTCTGCCCATCATTCACCCTCTTAAAGATTAGAAAGCTCTCATGATACTCTGCGGGATAGTAGCTAGAATGAGGGTACATCCTATGTATGTGTCAAAAAGGGGTAAGGCTCTGTTCCAGAGCCCTATCCCCTAAGATACCTCTCACTTCTCCAGACTTAATCCCATCTGCACAATGAAATGTGGGAGTGACTGTCATCAAAGGAATATTTTTCTCCAAGTCAAGAGGCCCTGGTTGTACCTGAGAGCCAAATAATGAATTTGGGGCTGAGAAATTCAGGGAGGAGGGCTCAACAGGGCACATGTCCGTTCCTCTTGTCCCCAATATCCAGATCAGAACTGGAGACTCCTTCCAGCTGCCACTAAGGTAAAAATATTTGTGAGGCACAAGGGGATCCCCACTATAAGGCAGTTCCTTCCAGAAGATCTTAGCCTGAGTCAGACCAGGAAAGAAGAACTATAATGTCCCAATGTCTCTGCCCCTTGTCAAAAAGATCCTTTATCCTCATTTATGCTTCTGATCAAACCTGCTCTGTCCTGTGATCCAAGGAGGGAGGGCTGACTGAAGAGCCCCCTCAAACCAAAGACATGAATACTCCTTCTCCCAGAGGGATCTCCTTGGGCCCTTCCCATCCTCATCTTCTCTAAGTTTCCACTTTTGCTAGAATCAGCTATGGGAGCCACCTAGGGTGCTTACCTGCCCGCTTCAAGTCTCCCTCTCACACTTTACCATTCAGGAATCAATGTGCATCAAGATGAGGCTTCCCCTTCCCCCCAACCCAGGGTTCCACCCTATCCTGTCTGCCTACTTCCCCCTGACATGTTTCCCATCTCACTGTGGTTTCCTCTACCTTAAAGGATGTACAGACGAGATGGCATCAAGGAGAATTTCTCAACAAGGTGGACCGTTATTTCAACTATGTAGGAAATAACTAATGTTTCATTTTGTATTGCAAGAAATCTTTTCTTATTTTTTTTAAAGTTTTGATTATAAATTCAGCAATCATAAACCATCAGGCACATTTCAAGAAATGAAGAAGAAAAGAGGGAAAGACTGTACAGAAAACTGAGTGGCCAGCTCACACATTGTTTTGTTTCTATTATTTTTTAAAGAAATCTATGTGTGAATGGCCCTATTCATATACAAATGCGTTTGTGAGTCAACAGTCAAAAAGCAAAAACACAGTCTCTACTCTGAAGGAGCACCCATTCTGATGGGAGATGCAGCATGTAACTAAACTGAATATAACTGAAGATAAATTGAAGATAATTTCAGAGGGCGAGGTGGCATTTGTTTGTCTGGTGGTGAAGGAAGAGAGAGAGAGAACCAGAAACATCCTTTTGCAGAAAGGGGGATTTGAGCTGAATCTTGTAGGAAGCCAAGGAATTTGGGAGGTAGAGGTGAGAAGAGCATTCTCCTCCTGGGGTCAACCAGTGCAAAAGCACAGTGAAGCATACGGAGATGGAACGCCATGTACAAGGAACAGCAAGTAGAAAATGTGGCTGGATCATAGAGAGGAGCAAAATGTAAACAGACTGACAAAGCAGGATGAGGCCATGTTATGAAGCACTTTAAATACCAGGCAGAAAAGTTTAGATTTGGCCTTGGAGGTAATAGGTGGTCCAATGGAGTTCTTGAGCTGGAGTCAGATTGTGCTTGACTAAGTTCACTTAGGCCTTGGAGAAGAGGACAGCTTGGAGTGGAGAGCAACTGGAGACAGAGAGACCAACCAGAAAGCTATTGTTGCAATGGTCCACGAGAGAAGCGGTAAGTGCCTTTGCTAGGGCGGTGACTGTGTGAGTGGAGAGAAAGGGATAGTGAAGTGAGAAACAACAACACTGATGACAGATATATGTAGGAGGTATGTAAATTAGGAGTCTTTTTCCCCCTTATTTTCCATTATCATTCACTTTCTCACTCCTTCCCCTTTGTTGCTGGATCTCAAACCTGTCAAAACCTCTTTCCAGGATGGACAGTTTTGTTTTTCTTTTTTATTTCAGTTTTCAGCAACTTCAGTCTTTGTCCCACATGCCTTCTGGGAGGATGTTAGCAGGCCCAGCTGGATGCTGGCCACTTTCCCTGTGGCTTAGAAGAGTGCCACGTTGCCTCACACACCTTGCCCTAGGTCCCTCTGTTCCTCATTTCCTGGTGCAGCAGAGTGTTGCCCCACCTTGAGAATTCATCTGCCTTTTGCTTTTGCAACATTTTTACCTTATGGTGGATGGTGGAGGACTGGGTGTTGAGTGAATAAATTATGGGTTAAGGCTTAGCCTTCTCTACTGTTAATTCATTAACATTTTACCTTATTTTGATTTTTCACTGTCCTAGATTGTGGAGGGAGCTGAAATTGGTTTTATGTCTTATACATAATTCCTATTTTGGAGAGGTCATAATGATTAGAAATGTCTTATCCTCCACAGTGTTGGTCAAATGAATGGGAAAGGGCTAGTGATGAGTCAAGATATGGAAGTTGCTCTTGTGATGGTCCAGGAGAAAGATGAGGAGGGTCTAGTTGAGTATTTGTGTGACTGGAGAGAAGGGTACACATAGGAGAGATGTGAAATTAGAAACAACAAGATTTGATGACAGATTGAATAGATGGGCAAGTAATAGAGTCAAGGATGACAAGGAAGTAGAAGGATGATGGTAGCCTCAGCAGTAATAGAGAAGTTTGGAAGAGAGGAGAGTACTGGGGGGGAAGAAAATGAATGTGTAATTCAGCTTAACAGGTTAATGACAAATTAGTCAGTATACCCTTTCCTTTCCTTGTTTAAGGCCTTTGAAATGCTTTATTGATTAGCTTTGTTCTGGAATATCTCCACACACCATCTACCTCCCACACCCCTACATTCAGTAAGCTTCTTCCCTTATTGCCTAATGAGTCTCAGGAATACCTTGTTTTCTTCAAGGAAAAGCACTAGGCCTGGAATCAGGAAGACTTGAGTTCAAATCCAGTCTCAGACACTTACTAGCTGTAGGCTCTAAGCAAGTAACTGCCTCAGTTTCCTCAATTGTAAAAATGGGGATAATGTTATCACCTAGTTCCCAGCTAAAGCACTTAGCTCAGTTTCCAGCACATAATAAGTGCTTAACAAATTATTGCTCTTTCCTTTTTCCCCTCAAGACTCCCTTCAAACCCCGGTTATTGCTTGAGACCTTTCCTGGCCCAGTTGACAATGTAATAGCGTAGTCCCGCATCAAAAGCCTTCCCCTCAACCCCACGTTAGTACATGTAGAGAAGGAGGCACAGGAAAGGAGTGCCTCAGATACAGCACCCTTAGGTTTCAGGGAGGGGGAACCTGCAGTCTTGAAGCCATACATGGCCTTCTAGGTCCTTGGGTGTGCTCTTCAGACTGAGGCCAAGTTTTACAAAACAAATACTTTTATTGAGGGGATTTGTTCTATGAAAGTTTGGTTTTAGTCACAGGACCCCATTTGATGGAGAGGGCCACACTTGGCCCTGAGGCTGCAGGTTCCCCACCCCTGGATAGTCTGGGGCAGGGTGTGCTGCCGGGGCTGGTGGAAGGAAGGCTACAAATGACAGTTAGCAATGACTGTCAATGAAAGGAGGTAAGAGGTCCTTCCTAGGGAAGAAAATGCACCTGTAAGTGCTCAGGAACAAAGCATTATCAACATGAAAGGCTGAAGTTGTATCTAAGAACATGACAATCAGTTCTAGGCTGAGAGAGGTAAACTGCTATCCCCAAAGAGTTTGAGGAAGAAGGATGCCTGAGAGGGCACAGGCACCAGGCACTGCTTCTGAGCTCTGAGAAGCCAAGGCTACCAATGTCCAGAAGAGCTGACAAAGTATATGTTGACTTGCCAGGATTCAGGATTAAAGACCATCAGCTAGTGTTCTGACATTTTCCTGACTCCATAAAACCTGAGTTGAAATAAGGAAGAAGATCTGAAGAATAGTTTGGAACTTCCAGAGAATGTAAAGAGCACTGGACTTAGAATCACAGACCCAAGGCTCGAACTCTGTCTTTACGAATGCCTATGTGTGTTGCCCTGGGCAAAAAACTTGTGCCTTCTCTCCTCTTCCTTTGCCTTACACACGTTATGTAAACCTCTATGATACAGGACATAGGAACTACAGTAAGGACAATAAAATTCATAAACTAACCAAATGCTGTCCTGCCCTCTCTCTTCACTCCAACCCCCCACAAAAAAAAAAAAATAGAAAAAAAAAAAGAAATCATGGCTTATTTCCTTGGGCGAGGCAAAGACAACCAGAGTCTACTGGTGGCTTCTCTTGACTTGAAGTTTATGCTTTGGACATTTTTTTTAAACAAAAAGGAAGAATGTTTATGGTGTGCACAAATATGGAAGAAGTGTGGATCAGAGGACAGAGGGCTGGATTTGGCAGCAGAGAACTTGGATTTAAGTTCTGGACCTACCATTTCAGCTCCATGATTTGAAGTGAGTCTGTTACTCTCAGTCTTTATCTAGAAAGAGATGACCTCTAAGACTATTTTCAGCTCTAAATCTCTGATCCTACTCGAGGTCATGACTGTTTGAAGAGGATTATGTTATTTATAGCTGGAAGGAGCCATGGAGGTCATCGGGTCCAGTTTTCTCTTACTATATATAGAGAGAGAGCTACTTAAATTGCCATTTTTTTAAGATTATGAGAGGAGTACGGTTCCCTTGTGTTTTGGGACAAACTATTACCTTTGATGGCTTAAAAGAATAGTGAAAAGACTGAGAGAAAAGTCTAAAAGAACTGCTTTACATTGAGAACTGTTTAACTTTTACCTTTTGAAAACAAAGAAGCATTAAGAAATGAATTCCTGAGAAGACACTATAATTGGCATTTTGAGAGAGCTGAATGGTGGGTCTGTGTTTCCAGACTGGATGATTGGAGGTGACATTGAATGTGACTGTTGCCAGAGCAGATGCCTGTTCAGTAATTACTTATGTCTTTTTATTGTTCCTTACATTGTTAATAAATTGTATAAACCATGAATTTAATACATATTTAAACTAAGGAGACTGGTGTGTATAGATGTGGCTTTTTGTATACTTTCTGTATAAGTGTGGCCAATACAGAAAGAGATAAGTAAAAGTTTACAGAAAAAGAGCTTTCTTTGGTTTAGGTTACAAATAATGTTTCATAAGCTGGAGTAGGGGCTCAGAAATGATCAGCCAATTAATATGAGAAATGTTGCAATTTTAGTAATTAGTTGGAAATTATCAGAACACATTTTATTTCCCTGGAACCTAGGATGAAAATGAAGTCATATAATTGAATCTCCCCATTTTATGTATAAAGAAACTGAGGAGCAGAGATGTTAAGTGACTTTTCAATGGCCTCACAAGTATTGTGTCAGAGGTCACATTCAATTTCAGTTCCCATGATGTCAACTTCAAGACTCCAGGGTCAATACCCTTTCCACTGAATCACACACTACAGCATATGGAGCCTTGAAGGAGTCAGAAAAGCTATAAACAGAGTCAGATCTGGAGTCAGGAAGACCTGACCTCAAATTGTGCCTCACCCACTTACTTCCAAGCTATTTGACCCTGAACAAGTCATTTGTCCAGTTTGCCTCTACAGCCCAGAGTTACTATGAGGATAAAATGACAAATTACTTGTAAAGCATTTTCCAAACCTTAAAGAGCTATATAAATGATAGATATTATTGCTATTGTTGTCATAAGCATAAAACCCTCCTTAAACTCATATTTAGATTGGTACCTCAGAGCAGCTGGAGGAAGGGACACCAAAATGCATTCAGGTCTGATTTCTGTGAATTGTTCACTATAATTTTGCCAGATCCAGCGGCCAGAATGTCTAAATTCTCTAAAAGGGAACATTG